TCAATCCTTCCTAGGACTGACTAATTGACATAAAACTCATCTGGGAGCATGAGGCATTTGTGGTACCGCTGTTGGGCTGCGACTATACTTCGTGGCTCGAGCGATAAGCCTGCGCGATTTGGGAATCGCGCATCCGACTGCGCCCTACCGCTGGTAAAGCGACTGAATAGCAGTTGCAGCGGTTCAACGATTAACGATGGAGCGCGGTCGATCCCAATCGAACAATTTCCAAATCGCTTGAGTCGTGAATGATGAACGCTGCTTTATAGCGTTCATGACGCATAAGTCATTGTGTAAGCCGTACTCTATCGTTGCCGCTAAGAGTTGAGGGGAAGTCGAGCGCGTGGCGCACCTTGAAAAGGCCGCTCTCCCCTCCAAATGATAATTCTTCATTTATGTCGAGGAGGATGCCTTCGACTCTATAATACAGCTAAGGAATACACAAGAATGCAGCAAAACGCTCTTTAGAAACAATATGTGCTCTTTAAAATATGGACAAAAAATGGGAAAAAAATAAAATGGTCAAAATGAGCGCATTTTCCAAGAAGAGCGCAAATATGCTGCAGACCAAGCAAAGATCGCTGACAGGAAATTTAATCACAGTTTTCCTTTGCGGGGCACTTCATAACCAGGCGAACAATGGGTGCTGATGATGCACGTAGTAATCAGTGAGAGTGTGTTTTCTTATCAAGTGAGAGGTACAGTATAGGAGGGTTAAAATATTACGTACCGGGGCTGCCCAACAATGAACCCGATACACCCGCCGTTGTGCTGACGCCTTCCCGTGGTTCACATGAAAGCGTCGTGCGTATGTACACAGCGGGAGAAAGTACCACCGCAGTAATGGAGACAACATGACTGATTATCGCAGAGATCCCCAGCGGAGTGCGGGAGATATTCACAGCTGTTGCAGAACTTTTCGGACTCAGTCACAAAATTTGTGATCTTGCAGTGAAAAGATTCGCTTCTAGCGGTGGCGGAAATAGGTTGAAAGTGACGCGTCTAGGAAGAAAGCATCAGAGGAAAAAAATGAAGAAAAAAAGTCAAAATCTCCCCAAAAAGACCTCCAGCATCCGCGACATCGCACGGGTTAGGCATCCGACGCTAAGGATGAGAGCACTGGCTTCTCTGCCTCCTTACGTCTACGCTGCGTCCTTTTGAGGGAGCGGTACCTTTAGCCGTCCATGGAAGTGAGGTCGTGCGAGGAACGAACTCGCATCACGCCTTGAATCCAGGCAGAACTTTGTAGAGTGGGATGGGAATGGGAGTAAGGCTTGAACATCCCAACTATCTGAGCTTACTGCCGTGGGCCCATCACTTGTTCGACTCAATAAAGCATGATTTGTACAAATGGAGACTCACCACAATCCGAGCTATTCGCGCAAGTTCGATGGATATCTTTATCAAAGAGACGATCAGTTTCGAACCCGAAGCAATGGCTCGTTGCCGTAAAGAAGGCAGAGTCACTGGTATTCCGTACCTTGATTACAGATTCATTTCGCTAGTCGCGGAGGCTAAGCTGCGCCTACAGATGGACATCATTTACTGACGCGCCACTGTTATGAGGTAAGAAGGCAAGGAGAAAAAGCTCGTGTGTGTGGGAGGACACAAGAATAGGCTCGGTCCAGCCTAGCTCACGAGTACGGATCATGCTTCTGAAGCATTTTGTGGTGGGTGCTGAAGTAGTTAAGCCGGGCCATGCACAGCGCACGTCGCACGTTAGGGATCCGCAGCGAGCGGTTTTGGTCGGCGGAGGGATGGGGTCGTACCGGAAATGAGATTTGGTTCGTTTTAGCGAAAACGTTTATGGGAGGGTCGTACTTCGCAAAAACTTCTTCCACAACAGCAGGACGTGCCCTGGTCAGGTAGCAGCGCATCTGCGTCTCTTCCCTTTCCAAGGCTCAGAGGTCCTTTCGCGGCCCCAAAGTTAGCAACGAAGGCGCTGCGGCCCTCATAAGTGGCAGTTCTGACGCCCATTAGTTGCCCCGCCCACCAAAACTCAAAGGCTGTTTTCCATCACGTGTTCAGTTTTTACACCATGCTTTTCGTTTTTGTTTCGCTAAGCTTTGGATGACGCGGGGAATTCGTGACCCAGAGGCGGCGACATATCGCCTTGTTGGTATAAAACGAGCAGGTCCGGAAAACTCGCATAGCTGGCGTTGCCAGGGTGTTCTTAAAGTGTTTTACATGATTGTTTTTGCTTTTTTCTCTCTTGGAGGGTCACTTAGTGAACATAGGCTAATAATTTAACGCCATTTTCCACAAAAAGCAATCGCAGGGTTATTTTTGAGTTTAAAGCACGGATAATCAGATTGGGCACGGGTTACACTCTCACAATCAGAGCAGACAGTCTCCACACGACTCGGACCGTGCGCTCTACTCAAGCCCTAAACCTTGGTTAGGGAAAGCAGAATTACGTTTAGGACTCTTCTGGATATTTACTGGTCAATAAACATTGGCATTTGTTTTTCTGGTTCAGTCCGTTAACGTTTGCTACATATTCCTGCTGAGCTTGAAGATCACTGCGGCTGCCATGCTCAGCCCCATACATGGAAGGCTCGGTTTCGGGTAAAAAAAGCTGAACTGTCACGGTACAAAGACTGAGCAGACTTTGTTTCCAACCCGGATGTTTTCACCAGTGAGCACCGCTGTTTGCTGACAATGAGTAATCTTCGTGGCCAGCACGAGATTTTGATTGGTTGTCCGTGCTTCTGCAACAACACACAATAAAAATAACAGCAGACCGTTATCTGGGTGAACTTTGCCCAGCTGGTCTATTTTCATTTTCCTTTTGAATTAGTCATTTTGAGGGCAGGAATTCGCTGATTTTCTACCTGAGCAGAGCACATTGAAGAGGTCTTCACAGCTCGAAGTAAATGTCACACGTTCAACAATAAAAAAGCGAGACTTGCTGACGGAAGCATTGGCTGGCTGACTGTTTAAAAAGTGAAAAAAATCTTGAGAGCCGCTCTAGAGCGAGAGCCAGGAGAAGGCGCTCGAGAGTGTCTTCTGACAAAATCAAGGGATGTGAGTTCTTACCCCAGTGCAGAAATTATTCTGGGAAGCCTGTTGAGGAGCCCCTTACCCCTATCAGTCCAAACAACATCAAAGAGGCTAGGTAGTCAATCAGGGGGAGTGGGTGAGACGTTATCAATCACTCATGGAATGATGGAAAATGGAAAAGATTCCATTTTGGTGTGCAGAACTGTACTTGTACTGATAAAGCTGTCAAGGTCTCTGGTCAGTAAACATTTGATGAAACGTTACTGACTGCTTATCAAATCGGGGAAACCCCCATCTTGTGATAAATTTAGCCCAATGACATGCCAATCAAACCATTGAAATGATGGGGCAGGAAAGCACGATTGAGAACATTACTATAATACATTGAGAGATCTGCCTTCTCCAAGGAAATTTCGAGGCTCAAAATTTCAACTTAAAAGTTCACCAGAGACCAGCAGTAAAAAAGAGCATGACTGAAAAGAGTGGATGACGGATACTGAGAGGAATAAGGTTCCTCCCCGAAGTCAAGAGTCAAAATCCTTCAAGCAGTGTAAGTGGAAACAAATCTGTTGTTTCTTGGAGACTGGAAACCTAGAAAAAAAATTGGTCCGCCTGTCATGCAAAAAAATAAAGCTGTCTAGACCACAGGCTATGCATGTAAGAGTGCATCGTCTAAGCCACAACTGGCATTGCATTTGTCCCGCTTAGACCTTTACGCGACTGGGAGGTACGTAGCGCAACGAAAGCCAAGCGAGCGCACGTAAGAAGTGTCAGAGATCCGATGCAGGTGCCAATTTTTGTTGAATAATCCATTTTTTAAGTTCATGGAGAAAATATCTAAAGCTATAACCTTGGCTTGAATTCAGTATTGTAATCCTTAATCCATTGGCTTTCTGCAAGTTTTAGATTTCCTGGGGGCTTTGTCTTCAAGCTTGT